CCACTCTGCAATTACACTTAGGCTTATATTGACATAACTTTATATCCACTCTGCAATTACACTTAGGCTTATATTGACATAACTTTATATCTACTCTGCAATTACACTTAGGCTTATATTGACATAACTTTATATCTACTCTGCAATTACACTTAGGCTTATATTGACATAACTTTATATGATTAAAGAGACTTAGTTTTACATTGTTTTCTAGGCTTTACGTGTAATTTAAATACATATACAATTTATATAGATATGGTCATCGTGTATGTATTATTATATGGATATATTTTAGTATCTGTTTATAATTTACTTATGTTCAAAAGTTGTTAACAAATCTGCTTTAAAACAAATAATAAAGTGTAAAAATGAGCACATCATTTAAGTATTATTTCATGAATATCTACAGATAATTGATTGAAGTAATTATTTTTTTATATTTATGTCTTTATATTTATAGTTCATTGACTAAATAGCGGTTTTCTTTTAGAACGTTGGCTGTGACGGTGTTATAGATTCTACTGTTAACCCTGATATATGTGGAGTGTGTGATGGAGACAACACAACTTGTCATGTTGTTTCTGGGCAAGAAACAATACACGGGAATATATCTGGTAGGTGGCGCCCATGATTATGATAAATATATTCCATTTATCTTTGATTTTATTTTCCTCTTTTAACTAAACTGTAGCTGTCTTGTTTCCATGAAAATAGACAAAATTTTAAATCAAAAATTTGAATCATTGGATGTAACTGATCCTCGCGCTTTTCAAAGTCGTGACGGTTATGTGCATATAACTTTCACTCACATTATCGATTTTAACACCAAATTGTGTGATACCCTCGTTTTGGCGTGACAACAAGACTGTTTTGTGTGTGTGTGATCGGCATATACTCTCGTTAATGATGTGATATAATCTCGTCGCAGTGTAACAGCATTATTTTGTGAAAAATAAATAAAAAAAATCCTTCCCGCACACGGTTGAGTTAGGACATTAAAAGTAGCATAATAGTGTTTTTACTACATATAGTTGCTGTAGTACTTACAATAAATAGCACACTGCTAACAAATTGTTGTTTGTTAATTTTATACCGCTTATTTACGTATTCTGTTCAACAACTAAGTAGAAACTGTACTTATTTATTTTCACTAAGGCTACTATCACATTGTTAAGATACCACAAAAGTCGAGAAAAATAGTAGTCCACGAGGTTGACGAATCTCCATCTTTTCTTGCCTTACGAAACATGAGTGGTCATTACTACGTCACCGGCCACTGGACAGTAGACTGGCCTGGGCGGTACCTGGCAGCTGGAACAGAGTTTCTTTACAGAAGGTGGTACAAGAAACCCGAGTCTTTTCAGGCCGAAGGTCCCACGAACGAGGATCTTATTGTGGAAGTGAGTACATACCTTATATTTAAAAACGTGTCCAAATCCTATCGTTTCCGAACCATATTTTAACCGTTTTGTAGACAATATTAATCAATTTTGAAGAAAGGTCTGCCAAAATTCAGGAACTCACTTTGGGAGTAATAAAGTTTGGAGACAGCTTGAATGGGTAACGAAGAAAACTCTTTATTAAATGTCAAACACACAGCAACGTAATGTTTAAAATATTAATTTGTTACTCGAAAAATAAACAACCTGAGCTATACGAGTGGAAGTCTTACGAGAGCGTTTGGGGGGGGGGGGCATTCCAAGACAATTAAAATGTTACTTTCAAAAAGTGGCACAGCGGTATGTCTGCGGACTTACAACGCTAGAAACCGGGTTTCGACACCCGTGGTGGGCAAAGCACAGATAGCCCATTGTGTAGCTTTGTGTGTAACTTCAAATAAACAAATAAGCAAGCCTTGGAATGTCGTAGGAAAGCCTGATGACAAAGTTATCAGTATCTTAGTTTACCATCGGACAAGTCTTAAGATAACTTTCACTAGTTAAAAGTTGTAAAGTTATAATTCTTTTTTTATCAATATAAGCTGTATATTTTCATAAGTAGATTTTATGCTCCATATTCCTTAGTTCTACCCCGTAGAGTTGGACAGATCTGGCCTGATAAATAAATGCTTTGCATACAGTTTTCATAGACTTTAATATAAACAAGGATTTGTTATAAATTGTTTGTTCCAAATAAAAGCGCCAAATTCGTAAGTTTAAAATCGATCTTTGCTTTTAACAATAGGTTGGCCAATCTTGTTTTTAAAGCACACAACATTCAGATCTTATGAATAGGTCAAACTATTTTTCATAAAGATTGATTTTTTGAGTTGACAACTAGTCCTTTGTATCTGACTTTACTCTTTTGATATACAGGTCTTGCTTCAAAAGAAAGAAACAACAATACATTACGAGTTTGTGGTAGCCAACAATTCTACAGAACCTACACATTCAGCGGTCAGTAAGCCGGTCAGGAAACGTTACGAGTGGCGGCTAATTCCTTCCGACTGTTCTGTGACATGCGGAGGAGGTATTATTTGTCGTCCAGTTTCTGATATTTCAAATAATATTCCATGTTTAACTCCTAACATTAGTCCACCAAGTCATTTCGAATTAAATAAAATAGTATTTTAGCGTTAATTTGTCTTACAAAAAAGTGCATTGAAAAAAAAAAGTGAGAACTGTGTTTATTAAAAAAAATCTATACTATATTACACATATTGTAATATTGAAGTTTTTCGGTGCAAAATAAATTTAAATTAAAAACAATTACACTATTAAGAAACGCTATATGTGTGTGTAAAAACAATTACACTATTAAGAAACGCTATATATGTGTAAAAACAATTACACTATTAAGAAACGCTATATATGTGTAAAAACAATTACACTATTAAGAAACGCTATATTAGTTTTTACTTCTTATTAAGAACATCATGAAAGGCTTGGGTATAAAACTGATAGATATAAAATGAATACGAAGATATGTTGTAAAGCGGATAGTAATAAATGTGATAAAAGGTGTATAACATAATCAATAAACTTATGGTTTAAGGTGTATAACATAATCAATAAACGTGTGATAAAAGGTGTATAACATAATCAATAAACGTGTGATAAAAGGTGTATAACATAATCAATAAACGTGTGATAAAAGGTGTATAACATATTCAATAAACGAAGTTAGTTTGCTTACTTTTTCTACTTCACTACTATATATGGCATTTGGCCTTCGTTGAATAATGCAGCGTTGTGTGTAGAAGAACATGACATTGTTCTCTGTATCTGTTTTCTATGTTGTTGGTTATAATTATATTTTTGTGTTTATCCGAGTCTTGACACGTATAGCAACCGGCCGTTACTTTGTTGTCAGTTTTGTTACTGATTTTTTTTTCACGTACTATTGGTTGTTGTTTTTTTGTGCCCTGAATTTATTGAAGTCTGTGGGTAAATTGATCAGTAACGAGTTGATATTCCCACATTTATTGTGTAATTGAACATTTCGTGTCAAATAACGACTTTCACACGTGTGCAGTTTCTGTGCAGCCGATGATTCGGCACTACCAATAAACGATACTTTTTTTTTGTTTTTGTAATTTGATGTGAACATCATTTTGTGAAACAATCTACGCAGTGGTTGTTGTGAGGAACTTCTTTATATAAAGTACCATTAATTATTTTATGTATTAACATAAGTTCTTGTACGACTTTTTACTTTGGTCTAATCCGTTTCAGAATATCTGCTATTTATAAATATCTCTTGGATCTGGGAACCATACCTGTTGGAAATAGATTGAGATTTCAAAATTTTATAAGTGCTCTCAAAGAAGAACAGGTAATAAAAACAACAACATCACTAAAGTTAAAAATCACCTTGTTGGGATCAATACTCAGCTTAACGTTCCGCTTGTGTTCCAGACGGGTTTCAGTTTTTGTGTTAATATTGTTATAACGTTCTGCTTGTGTTCCAGACGGGTTTCAGTTTTTGTGTTAATATTGTTATAACGTTCTGCTTGTGTTCCAGACGGGTTTCAGTTTTTTTGTGTTAATATTGTTATAACGTTCTGCTTGTGTTCCAGACGGGTTTCAGTTTTTGTGTTAATATAGTTATAACGTCCTGCTTGTGTTCCAGACGGGTTTCAGCTTTTGTGTTAATATTGTTATAACGTTCTGCTTGTGTTCCAGACGGGTTTCAGCTTTTGTGTTAATATTATTATTCAGGTTAAGCATTGGTTGTAGTCGATCCATGATATGATATTTCTTAATTCATTCTTCGCTGGTTCATGCTGAGTGTTAGACTGTTTCTTATGTTTGAATTTCAACCTCAGTTCTTCCAAAAGACGACGTTGACGTGAGAAATAGCCAGAAGATTTCTGCAGATAACGATTTGTAGTTTTGAAATAGAGGGATTTGGGGGATAACTTGATGGTGTTTGTAAGTTGTTAAGAAATAAATGTCCAATGGTAATTTCTGGACTTTGAGGTCAATATTTTGACCCCAAACTCCGGAACTTATCATTGGACATTCATTTAATGCCTGGAACACAAGCAGAACGTTAAGCTGAATATATTAATTCCACATAAAATTACCAACAGCATTGATCTTAGCTTAGTGATGTTGTACTCAGTGAACCCTGTAAATTGCCCTAGTTAAGGGCCTAAAGTCTGCAATTTAATTTAAATCAAAATCTCAAGGGGAAAACTTAAACTAGGAAAGACAATGTACATGAGAAACAGATGCTTTTAATGTTCACAATGCTTCGGATCTGGACATCCTTCTTCTGATTTCTGGCGATTTTAAGCTATAGTTAAAGAAAAGGTTTGATACCACAAAGGGTTATGAAATATATAATGTTCGATATGAGCATACTACAATAAATCTAAGGAAGCTTACAAGTGGCCAGGTGGTTAGGGCGCTCGACTCGCAATCTGAGGGTCGCGGGTTCGAATCCCCCGTCACACCAAACATGCTCGCCCTTTCAGCCGTGGGGGCGTTATAATGTGACGGTCAATCCCACTATTTCTGGTAAAAGAGTAGCCCAAGAGTTGGCGGTGGGTGGTGATGACTAGTTGCCTTCCCTGTAGTCTTACACTGCTAAATTAGGGACGGCTAGCGCAGATAGCCCTCGTGTAGCTTTGCGCGAAATTAAAAAAAAAAAACAAGCTTACAAGTGAATCAATAGAAATTTAATATTATTTTATAATTAGGGTTCTAATGTGTGTATATATACAAACACACACACACACAATATACACAATTAAATTTCGAGGTTTTAAATATATTTAAAAGTTTTTGAAAAATATCAAAAATAATAACAACTAGGTTGCTACGCATTGATACAGGCAACAATGTTACGTTTCTAAAGTTCGAAAGATAGTTAATACTCTGGTGTCAAAAAATAAGTAAAATATAATACAAAAAATAATTAAATACATTTAATAGAAATATATACAAATATATGTGTTGCGCACAAGTATGTGCATACCCATGCATATGTAGATGTGGTTATGTTATTGAAATTAGTACAAAACTACTCGAAGGCTATCTGCTCTAGCCGTCCCTAATTTAAAAGTGATAGACTAGAGGGAGGGCAACACCGCCCACTGCCGACTCTTGGGCTAATCTTTACCAACTAAAAGTAGGATTTACCGGCATATTATAACGCCCACATGGCTGAAAGGGCGAGAAGAGTATCTTCGGTAACGGAATTCGAATCCACTAGCCACAAATTGCGAGTCGAGTGCCCTAAACACCAGGCCATTCCAGGCGACGCCTTTTTGACTTTCGAAGCTGCTGATATTGTGGACATGACTTTAACTGGATCACAATTATGTGTTTACGTGCTCGTTCTGAGAATATCTGACCTTTTTCTCTTGTATATAATTGTCCACAATATAAAGAAATGATGTAAAAAACTCATCATTTGGACATACATGTGATTGATTGTTTGACTGCATATGTGGGAAACTAAACACTGGTGTTGTAACGCAATGTGTTGCATCCTGAACGTAACAGCAACGTGTAGAACATGCAAAAGGAGTAATTTCTTCTGGTATCTTCAACCGCGCATGAACCAATATATCATTTTTTTCCGAGTCGACACGAAGTGATTGCTTACCTATAAATGTATCTCCCAATATTTTGCTGCTTTGAAGTATCTCAACATTAAATGATTTAAAACGGCACTTGTGTAAAACATCCACTTACAATTAAAAGGAATACAACGTTAAAATCATTACACAGTAAATAGTTGTTAAAAACGGGGACTTGCCCTAAAAAAATGACTCTACGTATGTTTCGGTGTCCTATGACACCATCTTCACGAATAACGGTAAACGTTGTATTCCTTTTAATTGTAAATATATATATATATATCTCAACATTGTTTTAATTATGCTGAAAACCTGAAATGTCCAAATCAACGAAGCTTCTTATTTTCCTATGTAGTGTAGTATTCTTGCAGTATCTTTGCTGAATTGAATATATCTAGACGATAACCTCTAACCTTGAATAAAAACTGTCAGTTTATTAGCCTTCTGGGTAAAATCGGACTCTGTATTGCATAAATGACGGAGGTGGTAAAACTGTGATTTGGGAATGTCATTGGATGACTGAAGTTGTAATCCAATTACGAATGGGAATTGGTAGACTTATCACAAACATATGTTCAAATGGTATTCTTTGTACTTAATATTAAAATTATGTCGAGGAAGTTTACTCGTCGGTTGGAACCGTTGCTTGTGCTAAAGATGATAGTTCTTCACAAAAATTATAAGTTTGTAACAGTTCGTCGGTATAAAACAGGCATATGTTGATTATAAGTTTGTAACAGTTCGTCGGTATAAAACAGGCGTGTGTTGATTATAAGTTTGTAACAGTTCGTCGGTATAAAACAGGCATATGTTGATTATAAGTTTGTAACAGTTCGTCGGTATAAAACAGGCATATGTTGATTATAAGTTTGTAACAGTTCGTCGGTATAAAACAGGCGTGTGTTGATTATAAGTTTGTAACAGTTTGTGCTCCATGTAGCCCACAAAAGTTTGGCGAGTGACTGACTGTTCCACTTGGTACACCCTTATTTAGTTTTTAAAACGAATCGTTGAAAGATAAGACATTTAGTGTCAAGATGAGTTCAGATAGTTTTAATAGAGCGATTTTGATGTCTCTAGCACTCGTCGTTGGTTCAAAACTTCAAGTCCCTCAATATGTGGTTATGACAGTATATAAGGACTTAACGTCCATTGTAAATAGCAATGGATTAGAAGTAGCTAGGAAATTTGCATTAAACACTTGAAGACACTGGAAGAGTGTGTACTAAAAGTGTCATGATTTCGTCTAACAAACTAGATTAACTCTGCTGGGTAGTTACACTTAGAAACTATAGGTCTTCCAAGGTTTTCAGGTTTATGTATCTAAGGTAAGATGTAAAACAAGAATGTTCTTAGTTCTTCTACGATTAGGTCTCGCGCTTCTTTTTGGTAGTTTTTCGGCGGCTATTGACTTGTTTAGATCACTTTTACGGTGGTTTGATATTCTTCGAGATTACTGGTTTGGAGTTTAATATAGTATTAATCCTTATAGATTGTCGTTCTGCCTCTGTTTTATACAACTCTTACGCCATTCGACTATAACACCACATCTCTCTGTTTACTTGACGACAATGTCAGGACTGTCTTTAAATTCTTCGTAATTTTTGTTTTCTCATTTTTGGCAAGGTTGTGTTTAAACGTGCGTTTAGAAAAATCTATTCTGTTGATTTCCTCATGACTATACCTTTTTACCTATCTATATAGTGATATTTCTCACCCTTGTAGATTTTATGCTTTAAATACTTTAAAACCTAGCGATAAATACATGAATACTAGGTTTTTTCTTATATTTTAATGAAATATTTGTTTAAATGTCATTATTGTTTATAGTTTATTACTATTATTTGAATTGCATCAGGTCATCAGTACTTAAACCCTCGTTGTCTGGACGATAAAGGACTACTGGTGGACAGTGAACTTTGTTCTGCTGTTTTACGACCGTCAGCAGACATTAGTAGATGTAACCGAGACTCGTGTCCAGCCAGGTAAGTTCATCATCTAAATTCATCAACATAGGTTGGCTAGGCTTTTTTTCTAACTGAATATTGTACCTGTCTTAAGAAACGCAAAGCTCCAAGTATCTAGATGACTAGATCGCGTATTTAACTAATAGGTTACTCGCTCAGGTGCGTGAGGGTTGTAATAGCCCAGCAAAATTACATTAAGTCTCAAATTAGGTACGAAAACTATTATTCTAAAGGGTTAATATCAATAACTGATGTGCCCCAAAAGCGACCTTTTTCTCAATAATAAGAAAATAGTAAACAAGGTCTCGAGAAGTCTCGGTTAGGCTTAAGGCCGTCATTGAGTGAGACAGGCAATATTCTTTAGACAAACAAGTCTTCAGTTAAACATTCTTGTCTTGTCACGTTAGGCAACTAGGCTTCTCTCACATAAAAACTAAGTAAGATTCACACTCCAGACACGCTAACTGTTTGGCCACACTCGGCCCACGAAAATGAGATTTTGTTCCTCTACTAAAGAATCTGACAGAAAACGCTGATTTAGTTAACAAAATATAGAAGAAAACTGTACATAATTAGTTGGAAACTAAAGCTATTTGAAAGGTAACTGAGGGCCACAGTTACAGTTCAATTCACCACGTCAGGTCAGGCTCTATCTGACGACAGTGGGTCTTGACAATAGCCCTGCAGCTCTGTTTTTGTTGAAAAAGGCTCCGTCGTAAGGCCGTCATGTCCAAGGCACGCTATTCCTCCCAGTTGCTTTCCATAATCTATCTAGTGTTTCCCTACCCTCATTTTAACAGTCAGATCTCACACGAATTCATAGGCGCTGAGTATGTACGTCATGTCTTCATGTATAATAGCAATAATACCTGTTCCATTATCCAGCTGCTTTAGGTAAACAACAGTTTAACTGATATTTCATGTAAGCAATTTGTATCACTTTTCTAGATGGAAACCTTCTTGATTATGTTGCCTTGGGCACATAGACGGCTTTTGTTACAGACATTTGTGTTCGTAGACTCTCACCCGTTACAAGACATCACATTTTGCTTACCATGACTAGTGTACGAATTGTTGCAGTTCTCTTTCTAGTTGACCATAGTGCCCTAAGTTGGTCTATATTCCTTTGTTTTCTAATTCCTATAAGTACAGGAGATGTTCTTCTCTTGGAAATTCAGAGCCTCATGTCTAAAAACAACAATATGATCTGAGTGTATTAATATCCTGCGTCAGAAAGGACTGTCACATACACTTCCCAACATCAGTAAATCTTTGGTGGCATCACACTATACCTACATAACGCCAAACAATGTCAAAATCCAGTTCTGATACATGCCGTTCCACCGCGACTTTACATCAGCTGTGGTTGTGAGGTGATTTGCTGATTTTCATATTCAAAATCCTTTTAATATAACGTACTCAGCCCTCTGTATTTAAAGTAATAGTTAATGAAATAAAAATATTGTGTAACTGAGTGCACCTGAAATTTAAGTGATTGAAAGTAATTGTTGAAAAGAAATATTTTATTTTTTTTATAAATGTGGAAAACAACAACATTAAGGTCAGAGAGCTGAAAAAAGTTAAATGTGCTAATCCTAGACATACGGCACACATACGAAGATGTTGAGAAGACCAAACCTTTTCTAGCGAGATTTATATAAGGAACAAGACGACGTACAACATATTGTTATCATTCCATGTATGAGATCCGGCATTCAAAAGTATTATCGATTGAAACACTAATTATGATGGAGTTGCTTACATGCTTTTATAAAGCACTTACTTAAGAGCCTCGTTTGAAATCGTCCAGAAAGTGTTTCAAAAGGTCATTCGCCTAAAATGAAACCGTATAATTAAACTCAACCATATGTAGAAGCCTATCGGCTGAAATTAGTAGATACAACTCCAGGAGAACTAGAGTGAGAAGAGTAAAAGTCTTTATTTTTAGAAGTTGAATGTGCAAATAAGGATTCCACACAGTTTCATAATGGGTGTATATATTTGGAAAATTTCATTAAATATATTTGGGTATTGTAGATTTTAAAATTATGTTAAATTATAGTCAGCATAGTAATGATTGACTCTGCGAAAAGTAATATGGCCAACTTGGCTGATTGTGTATTTCATTGTTTATAGTTGAATCATTCTGGATGAGTTATAAGAGTAACAGTCAATCCGTTAGTGTAGATGGTAAGTTTTATGGTACTACTCGACTAGCTGCCTTCTCTGTAGTCAAATACCCTTAAGTAGCTTTGCGAAAAGTAATATGGCAAACTTGGCTGACTGTGTATTTCATTGTTTATAGTTGAATCATTCTGGATGAGTTATAAGAGTAACAGTCAATCCGTTAGTGTAGATGGTAAGTTTTATGGTACTACTCGACTAGCTGCCTTCCCTGTAGTCAAATACCCTTAAGTAGCTTTGCGAAAAGTAATATGGCCAACTTGGCTGATTGTGTATTTCATTGTTTATAATTGAATCATTCTGGATGAGTTATAAGAGTAACAGTCAATCCGTTAGTGTAGATGGTAAGTTTTATGGTACTACTCGACTAGCTGCCTTCCCTGTAGTCAAATACCCTGAAGTAGCTTTGCGAAAAGTAATATGGCCAACTTGGCTGATTGTGTATTTCATTGTTTATAGTTGAATCATTCTGGATGAGTTATAAGAGTAACAGTCACTCCGTTAGTGTAGATGGTAAGTTTTATGGTACTACTCGACTAGCTGTCTTCCCTGTAGTCAAATACCCTTAAGTATTAAGTAGCTTTGCGAAACTTACAAAATAAAACAATATATTCAAACAAATGTTGTTCCTGTCTGTAACATATGGCAGGAATTAAATAAATACAATGACATAAAAAACAAGTGATTGTAATTTGTTTAGCGTCTATTACAGCGTTTGATTTGATTAGTAAGTTTATAGTAAACGCAGTGATTAGCGCGCCAGACTGTGAAGTTGATGTTTAATGTTTCGCGGCCTTACTGCAGAAAAACACAAATCGTGCTCCGCACTTTGGACTCTTGGATACTTAAGGGTCATACTGAATCCTATTATGTGATCTGACGAGAGTAACCTAAGAATTAAACGTGGATGATGTTGACTACTTGCCTTCTCTTTAGTCTATGGTTCAAAGTTAGAGATGAATGACGCAGACAGCCCTCGTATAGTTTTGCGCGAAACTTAATAAACAATTATTACTCACTTCTTCCGTTAATGTAGTTCTAAGAATATTGAGTTTGTGTTTCGGGAAAGTACTATATGTACGAGAAAGTGCTGTACGTAGGAGAAATACTTGGCAAGTAAGTGACTGATTAGCATTATTTGTGAAATTAGGCCTATCAATAGTTTGTTAAGTCTTGTATGTTTGTTTGTTTTTGAATTTCGCGCAAAGCTACACTGCGCTAGCCGTCCCTAATTTAGCAGTGTAAGACTAGAGGGAAGGCAGCTAGTCATCACCACCCACCGCCAACTCTTGGGCTACTCTTTTACCAACGAATAGTGGGATTGACCGTCACATTATAACGCCCCCACGGCTGAAAGGGCGAGCATGTTTGGTGGGGATTCGAACCCGCGACCCTGAGATTGCGAGTCGAGTGCCTGTTAAGTCTTGTAAGTTGTAGTTGAAGAAATATAACGCCATTAAGTGAATTAGACTCCACATCCTTCTATTTTTACCAAATAACCAGAAAAGAAATTTTCACAACGATAGAAACGTTACGACAATATGAATGTTTTGAAAATACCTACCAAAGAGTAGAATTTAACGTGATTGGTCATTGACGGCTAACATTGCTCTTGAAAACGAAGACTTTCTAAATTTTTTAGTAAGACTTTGGAAAATATTGTTAAAAAAAATTAAAAACAAGTAATAGATTTTGTTTAGAAGTATTAAACGTTTGGTTTAAGTTTAATTAGTTTACAGTAGGGTATTACACACTTCTGTAGCGTGCGCGCTAGTATTTGCATTTTTTAGATCCAGGAACTCAACCGCAAAACACAATAATCTTTAACTAGCAGAGACCCGCAAAACATTTCTGGCCAAATTAGTATCTTTATCGTAACAGTACTTTATTAAGTATAACATTTCTAGCATAATACAAACGAACTGTAATCGTAGACAACGAAATGTGTAAATCCACTTGTATATAGGCCGTAC